GACGTAGGGACGACGAGATAGACCGAGACCGCAGAGATCACGATGCGTTCGTACGAGCGAGGAGGCTGGACGACTACCGGCGGAGCCCCCGCTATAAGACTGACAGGGAGAGGGGCGACTCCCGCGGCCGATGGGAGATAGATCAGGTCCGACGAGACGGATATAGGGGAGGTAGATACGAGAGATCGGGCCAAGATGGGTATAGGGATGACAGATACGAGAGGTTTAGCCGAGATGTCTACCGAGGGGGTAGGTATGACAGAGAAGATCGAGACTGGGAGCGACGAGATGGGTCGCGGGGACGGTCTGATCGCGGAGGAGACGTGAGAGGACAGCGCGACGAGTCGCGAGGACGGTACAACCGAGGAGACCGACGCGATGAATCACGAGGACATTTTGACTCGAGGGACCGCCGGAATGACTCGCGAGGGCAGTATGAGCAAGGAGGATCTGAAGGAGACAGGCGCAACGATTCACGCAGCCGGAATGAGACGGGGGGATATGGTGTCCCATCAGAACCATATCCCAAGTCGCCTGACCCCAATGCGGCCAGGAAATCGATCCCTAGAGGCGCGGACGACAGGGCATCTACTCCGAGGAACTCATGCGTCTACTGTAGAGGAGAAAATCATATCAAGAGGGATTGTCCGGACCTTAAACGGGCAATAGAAGAGGGACTCRTCGTGCTTGACGACCGCAAGTACGTCAAGTGGGCAGATAATCTCGGAGATGTATCGATGTTCCCTTCAATGAGGGAGAATGTCGAAGCAAGGAGAATAAAGACAAGTAAAGGAATGGAGCCGGCCAGRAGCCAGAGCATCAAGATAACCTTTGAGGGGGATATGGCAACCACACCGATAAGGGTGGCAGCCACCAAGTCGTTRAAAGGGACTGCATCGAAGAAAACTGACACGGATTACGTGATGRCAGAGAGAGACGGGCARCGAATTGATGGAGAGGAGGTTATCCTTTCGCCGCGGAAACGGGGAGTGAAGAAGTTYTTAATGAAGAGTTCGCTGGATGAGATTGACACGGTCGAGCCRCTGAGGAGGGCTCTTCGACAGCCCATGCAATGCACTATTCTGGAGTACCTGGCGGCATCGAAGCCGGCTCGCGATGAGTTACAGATGATCACGCGCAAGACTCGCATACCTCTATCAGAGGAGGGGCAAGGGGCCCCTAAGGCGGAAACTTCTACAGTAGCAGTGACGGAGGTGACTGCCAGAGCGGATCGCATGGCAACAGTCCTTCTAGATGGAATGGAAGGCGTGCCTCCAGACAAATTTTAYATACTTGGTAGTGGGGCAGTGGAGACAATTATAAACGATGGAGCGGTACTTGACGCTGTGATCGATAACGGCAGTGAGGCAGTTATCATAGACGAGGACCTGGCAGTACAGGTTGGACTGGGCCTCGATAGATCATACCTATTCGAGATAGAGACTGCTGATGGTAGRAAGCAACAGATCACAGGGGTTTGTCACAAGGCAGCCATTGAGATCCAAGGGGTACGAGTGACCCTGCCTGTCTTTGCAGTCAAGAACTGCAGCTCTAACCTGCTCCTGGGACGGACGTGGCTAAGCCACGTGCATGCGGTGACGATAGAGCGACCTGACGGGAGCCAGACATTGTCCATTAAGAAGCTAGATGGGATGCGAGTGATGATTGAGACGGTGGAGCCTCGGGACCCGAGGAACAGAGCAGCTCTCGCTGTGGGAGCGAGACCCAGTGATCAGGTTTGGACATTACCTATCTCCAGCCGTGCGGTGCGATTTCGAGAAAAGGAATATGGACCACTGCTTACAGAGGAAGAAGGCCGAGTTGTCGAGGTAGAAGATTTAGGGAGTCGGTTAATAGTAGACGGCAACTCGTATCCGAAGGGAGAAGATGAGGAATTAGGCGGGGTAGTATCCGTGTCTTTTTTAAGGGCACGGCCCCCTACGGGGGGCCGCCTAAGSGACACAAGCGGGTARCTCAGAAGGTTAAGCCCGCGGCGGTGGGCCGCGAGCGATCTCCACTAGAAGGGATATCGGAAGAAGAGATCGCGAAAAAAATCAAAGAAAGGAAGGGAAAGGAGCCACAACGCCTGACGGAAGATAGGATAGCAGGGATGGACATCGGAGATGGAAATTTGACCCCACAAGAGCGAGAACGGGTGGTAGAAATCCTGAAAACATGTGATAAGGCCATAGCTTTTAGTGACGCGGAGCGTGGTAGGGTTGACCCTGGATACGCGAAGCCAGCAAGGATTTATACCGTACCACATGTTCCCTGAAATGACGCGGGATGGAAGTATGCCCAGAAGGAGAAAGAGGAAGTTACCACTTTCCTGAAGGAGAAGATGGTTTCCCATGTCGCGGAACCGTCTGATAGCGCGTATGCTAATCGATGGTTCTTCTTACGGAAGCCGAATGGCAAGATCCGATGGATCCAGGACCTTCAGAAGGTCAACGCKGTGACAATACGAGATGTGGGYTCGGTGYCACACGCCGATTTATTAGCAGAAGGCGCTGCAGGTAGGTCGATCTATTCGGTCTGTGATCTGTTCTCAGGGTACGATGAAGTACCGCTTGATCCTAGAGACAGACACCTCACGGCCATGCACACGCCATTGGGACTAATACAAATGATGGTTGTCCCTATGGGGTGGACAAATGGGGTAGCTGTCTTTCAGAGAGCTATGGTAGCCG